GTAACTAGTGCCAAGGTCATTACCGTTTTATATTCAAATATATGCCTAAATGCAAGTTTAATCCTTGTGCATTCACAAACATACAAGAATCCCTCATGTACCATTCCTAAGTCAAACGTTTGAGACTGATCCAAAAAGGTTTGGCAAATCACATCACAGCATTGTGGCAAGACATCTAAATGTGACGAAAGCAAGACATGCCAAGTCCACACTGAACCAAAATTAACATTGGTGCTTAGGAAAATGTACCAAAATACTGAAGACATTTTTATTTATTGTTGTGATTGGCTAAAACTAAATTTTGGCAGGCAGGCAGTAAGTGCTGCTTCCCACCTTGATTATATGTAGAGCTAAACTCAGATTTCTACACATTGTCAATCTGGCTTGCCAAGTTATTTGAAATATGCTTACTTAAGTTTTCTGCAAAATGCTTCAAATATGTCAGGCAGTTGTTAAATGTGCTCCAATACAATGAGTTTGTGGTAACTAACTTTTAAATTGTAATCAGAATAATAACATAAATACTCAGCTTTCACCTGTTTTTCCTGGAGGTTTAACAGCAACTCACACCTTGGGACATGTGATCAAAACAACTCACATGGCATCTGGAGACATGTTTGGATCGTCAAGCAACAGCGACCCAAACATTGAACTGAATGGAGGGTTGGGCCAGTGACTCACGTGTGGTTATGGCCCTATTAGTGACCTAAAAATTAGGTTGGTTGTTCTGACTACATCGTATTAGCCTACTTCCGACTCATCTTCAGAACCAAAGATCATTTAGCATTAAAGACAATAGATCTTAAAGAAACAGGACAACAATTCTGTTTGAGTTCTACTTTGGCACGTTGGACCATGCCATTTAGAATAACATAAATACAAACAAAACTGAAATGGAGTGGTAAGGCCTGACCTAGGGAAGAGTAACTTTCTTGCTGTTTTTTTTTACTGGGTTTCTCCTTCATTTTGAGACTCTCCGAAGTCCAGAGAAGGAGCCCTCAAGAAGTGCTTATCTTCCAATCAGAGCCAAAAGTATGGAAATATGCAGTTATTCCAAATCATTCATCCATATATGCATAATTTCTATCAACTTTTAAGATTGCAGAAATAGCTCAATTGTCTATAATCTATTATAGACAATACTGTAAAATTAATTGTATAGTGTAAAATTAGAGTAAAACCAGCAAAAATATTTCATTGATTATTTTTGGAGTAATAGGTATGACAAAAAACATCAACCACACAAGAAAACATTGAAAAAAATTTAGACAAATATCTTTGGGCATACCCTTGGAGACTTAATAGAAAATCTTATTCGGAAGATTGCAGGTATGCATCTTTGTAGAATAAGGTGCTATTATGGTTATATTCAAAGTTGATCACCTCTTCAACCTCATCTAATACTGTTTGTTTGGTTTTTTCTGTTGTTTTTCTACCTTACAGATGACATCCAGTGCACCAAGTGTCCTAATCGTACGTGGTCTGGAGTACGCAGCACTAACTGCAGTCCCCCTGTTTTTGAAATTTTGGCATGGCACACATCTGACGCTCTGAAGATTATAATGTCGGGACTTGTGCTGCTTATATGTCAAGTGTCAGTAAGCATCGTGTTCCTATTACACAGAGGGACCCCACTGGTGAAGGCGTCAGGGGGAGTCCTGACCTTTCTGACTCTACTAAGCTTGATGGGAGCCTGTTTGAGTCTGCTTCTCTTCCTTGGACCGCGTGATGATGTGGTGTGTCATCTTCAACTACCACTTAGCACCATTTTCCAAACCATAGCTCTCTCCATTATTTTGTCTCTGTCACTGCAGGTGGGTACAGGCAGGTACAATACTGCATCCAAGTGGCTATTTCTAGCAACTACACAAGCAGAATTTTTTTTTAAACATATGGTTCACAAACACTAAAATTCTTTCTTGGGTTTTACAGATATTGCTTTTTTAAAAGAAATAAAAAAACTAACCTTGCTGTAAATATAACGTAATATATATAAATTATCATGGAAAAAATAAATACAGGTGCAAAGCAATTTAACAACAGATGTAATAGAAACTTATATTCAGAAATGCTCACTAATTATTCTCTTTTAGTTTGGACATTCTTACAGCTACAAGCTCACTTTTTGGTCTTTACAGAAAAGAAAGGAGAAGTAGATGGGGAAATATTTTTTCCACACCAAAATAATAAATAATAAAATATTTTAGAGAAGCATGCATGTATTGTAAATTTACAAAGAGACCATACATATTTTTTTTAATGAAGACCAGTTCTCCTATTCTGCAGTATTTGTTAGTTAAATCCCTAACTTTATCTTCTTTCTGTTTTTCTTTCATTGTGGCTTAGTCTGGTCTGTTGTTGTTTCACTGTGATACCATAATGGAGGGAAATATCAGGTTTGATCCTCCCTCCAACACCTTCAGTTATAGATAATAGAGTTTTGCCTGTTTTTTAGTATCTAGTACTGTTACCTAGAAATAGCTATGAGCTTAGCCTTTACTCCGCCCAGCTGCATGTGCTTTTTTTCATCCTTTTTGACATAAAACTGAATCAGAACTTGTCTGCTTTATTATGTGTTTCCTGGACAGAGCCATTTGTGGAGTTAGTTGACATTTATCTTTTCTTAGGCAGAAAGTATTTATAAATCAGCGCTTCTATGTTCCTTTTCTATGTGTAGTTGAACCCCCAGTTGCTGTCAGCAAAGGCCACTCACTCTCAGCCTGGTTCTGCTGTAGGGTTCTTCATGTTATAAAGGAGTTTGTTTTTCCTCTCCACTGTCACTGCATGCATGCTCAGTGTGAGGGTTTGCTGTAGAATCAACAATACAATGGAATAAAACGTGTACTGTTGCCACATGCCCATCCTGCAGAGAATTATATGCTGAAAAGTTAGTGATCGTGTTAAACAATCAGCTGGTTTTCCATAGAAAACCTTTTACCATCCAGTCTGTATGATCTGATTGAATTGTCTCTGTAAAGTGCCTCAAGGTTACATGTGTAATGAAATGGCACAGTATAAACTAAATCAATAGAACTGAATTGAATTGCTTATGAAGTTTGTCTTGAGCCTTGAAAATTATGTATCTTTTTTAAGCTACAACAAAGGGAACCTGATCTTCTAAGCTATTGCTAAACAGTTATCATCTGTTGTGGGTAAACTTTCAAAATATATAGTTAAAAAATAGAAGGGTACGTATAATTTGTCTTTACATTATTTAAACGTGGGATGAGATACTTTTTTACTCAGGAAATTAAAGCTGTGCCTTATGCCTAACAAGCGAAGCCCAGGGGAAATTATACCCTCGTTACATAGCAACGGTTGCTAACAACTTGTTAACAGTCGCTGCCATTTCCAAGGAAAACTGGTAAGTTTACTGTCTTTGCTTTTTACTGTGTGTTGGTATCTGTACTTATGAAGTGTAGCTATAAGATAGCCTAACTGTTCTGTTCAGCCTATCCAATAAAACACAATTATAACAACATTATAACTGTACTTTTACACCTTATAACACAACTAGCCGCGGTATGTTTAGCCGCTGCTCAGTCGTTATCATAAATAACCACCGTTTCCATTTCTCAAAGTACTAGTGGCTTTACCGTTATGGGGTATTTAGCGTGTTTTAAGAGAAAAATTAGGTTTTTCGTTTTTTTTCTTACTATCATTCATTTTAAAAAATCTTACTTTGTTAAGTAAATATTTAGTTTGGAGCCAAATATTTAGTTTGCAAAAAATATTTTCTTTGAAAATTAAATATTTAGTTTCTTTAATATTTTAATAGCTCCAAACTAAATATCTAGTTTGTTAAATAAGAATTTAGCTCCAAATTAAATACATTTCCAGAGGCCCCACTGCTGCGTTTATCTGTGGGACATAGAACCTGCCTCCTTTTATCAACAGTATAATCAGTGGAAATTTCCATGGTTCTGGTCCTGGCGTGAAGTGACAGTTCTAGTTAAAATTTATTTGTTTAAAAATGTAAATAACTTTATGTTTTTATTTATTCCTGAGGGAGCAGGATGGAGTTTCTCAATGGGAGCCCAGTAAAAAAGAATGAAACATAAACAGAACGGGTAACATTTATAATCGATATAAATATAATATGATCTATTAAGTGAGCCATATCTTTGGTACAGGGGCCAGTTCTACAGGGGCACTGGCCCTTGTTGGCCCCGGTTTAGAACAAAAATAGGTTGCATGTTGTTATTTAAAAGAATAATCTTTTCACCTTCAGGCATCTGTAATTTGTAACCTAATGATTAAAAAAGTGGTGAAGATATTTCTTAACTTCTTTTAATTTTCCACAGTTTCACTCTAAAAATGAGATAAGACGAGCCTTTTCTGTTCCACAGTGTAGAAGTTCAAGTCTGTGAAAAAATCCAGAAGACTAAAGACAATAAAACTTACACGGACAACTTATAAGTATATAAAAATAAATGAATAAAAAATCTGCAGTACAATAGAATTAAAAGAGGGAACTTTAATAGAAGTAATAAGAACACTGCACTTATTAATAGAAAAGGCAATATTCACATGATAATTTATGAGAATAAAAACAGTATGCAGTTGATAGAATGATCTGAAAAGCAATGCTCTAAATATTGTAAAAAAAATAAATAAATAAACACTTCTATATCTACTAAGAAACTGCATATATTTTACTAACATCTGCAATCACATATTAATGATAAGCAGTGTTTTTATGATGTTACCTTGTTACCTTAACTTGTACGCAGATGTGTCTCCAATAATCTAAAATACATACATTTTACCAATTAAAGTCCCAAAAAACATAATTACATGAATACACTTAATCTGATTTAAGGTCAGAGATTGAGAAAAGGCTTATGTTATACAGGGATGTAAACATCTGATTTTAAATATGTGTTTGCATTTAGAAAAGGTCCATATTTTGATTTTACTTTGATTTAAGCGCATTGTAGCGATGGCCGAGAGAAGTTTCATGAGTGGAGACTCAGTCAATGCCAATACTGATGCTGTTATGGGTATGTTATCATTATCTTATCAATCTGTTGTTATTCAGAGATAATTTTTTTTTCTTTCTCAGCTTTTGTTATATCAGCAAAATACTGAAATTTGTCATGATTATTTGTCCCAGAAAAAGCAGAGATGTCAGCACAGTTAAGAAAGATGAAAAGAGACCAGAAGGCTTATAAGACCCAGACCTTGAAGAAGATCTCCAAGCAAGAGTGAGAACAGAACAGAAAAACATTGTAGTCTGATTCTCACTGGGTGTTCTACTCTAATTACAAGTATTTCTTAAACTCTGATTGAAGACAGATGATTAAAAATCTGCTTAAAGAACAAGAGGAGCTTCGTAAAAGACTTGCTGCCCGCGGTTTGACTCAACAACGCAAGGACAGTAAGGATCTGCAGGCTCTACTAAAGCAAAACGAGACTTTAGATAGAGAGATAGCGGAGGAGAAGCAACGTCAAAAACAGCTGCAGATGGAGGTCTTTTTTCTTATATTTTTTGTTGTTGTTTATTTAGGCTTTTGGGCACATAAACCAGTTTAAGTCACTTTTCTGAACTGTGTGCAGATTCTGAGCATGGAGTCCAAGTTGGCAGATATGAAAAAAGAAAGAGCAGTCAGCAGTAATCCATCCCAAAGATTAAAGGCAGGGAGGACTGTGCGTAATTTGGAAGACAGGCTGCACAGAGTGAGTTATGAAAATATACAACCTTAGAAATGTACAAATCAAGTTTACAGAAGTATTCACATTCTTTACTGTAAAGCTCAAAGTTGAGCTGAGGGGAATACTGTTTCCACTGATCATCCTTGAGAAGTTTCTATAACTGTAATAGGAGTCCACCGGTGGTAAATTCTGTGGATTGGTCATGATTTGAAATTACAAAAAAATTAATACAATTTTATCAGCTAAATGTGTAAATTGTTAGAAATGCTCTGATGCTATAGATGCACTGTAAATTGAACAATATTTCCAAATAATTGTATTTTTTTTTCTTTATGTTTTACTCAACATTCAAATGATATTAGAATCATGATTGTAAACTCAAGCAAGAGTAGTAAACACAAGGCTCAGGTCATCTCTGCCTGTACTTTTTTCACTTTCACTGCATCAAAAATTTGATATACTCTGTGTTCAGGCTACCATCAAATACAATGATATGATGACCCAAAACGACCGAGTGAAAGAAGAGGTGGACACACTTTATCGCGAGCGAGACAAGTTTCAAAAATTGCGAAACAACCTTACCAAGGTAGGATATACTTTTTTTATCCAACACAGCAATCATACCATTTTTTTGTTTGTTTGTTTATTTCTTGCGTTTTAACAACTTCTCTGAACTAACATATGTTTTAGGAGCAGCAGAAAATCTGCAAGAGCAAGGATAAAATAATTAAGGAGTGGAACGCTGCTCATGAGTTCTGGTAAGGTTTGAGATTTCAGATTAGCTTGGAGCAAATTAGTATGAGATGAAGCTGATTTATGTAACCTGTATTTAAGTGAGAAGGCTCGGGCTGAGAAGAAGATGCTGATTGAGAAGGATATGAAGGCCCTTGCTCAGTACAACAAAGAAGTGAAAGAACTAGAGAGGATTATTGCACATGATTCCAAACTGAATAACTTTATGAGCACCAAGTGCAAGGAAACTGGTGAGTTTCATGACAAAAAGGGAACGGAACAAGGTAAGATCATGCTTTAAGCTCAAAGGTGTGTAAAATATTGAGCATGAAAATATTAATGTATGAATGAATGGATAGATATTTATTTCAGACAATTTCAGATAGACAATTTGACAAGCAACATAAATGAATAAATACAAATACACACAAAAAGACTAGTTAACATCAAACCAAACAGCAATTTCCAAACTAACTAAATTCACCTGAACATTAATAGAAACAAAGCCCTTCACCAAATAAATCTGTAAGTATATACAGCCAGAGAAGTGACATTGATTTATGTAAATTATCTGAAAAGGGGTACAAGGAAGTAAAACTTATTATTCATACCCCCTGCCCCTCTAATTGCACTTAAATTAACTTAAAGTGGAGTTACCTTCCTGTTAAACTTGCTTATATATATATATATATATATATATATATATATATATATATATATATATATATATATTTACATACATGTAAATGAACATATACATAC